GCGAAAGAACTGAGGAAACTCCAATGTTGGACCGGCCAAGATTTTTTTAGATTTAGAATTTGGGGATTTCGGATTTTGCGGGTTTCGAATTTAACGATTTTACATTTGAGATTTCTTTTTGGACAATTTTGCTTTAGATTTCAGAGAACAGAATGAAGTTCTGAGCGAAAGAACTTGAGACACTTGGATGTTGAACTTCCTAAAGTATTTGGCGATTTTACATTTGAAACTTTTGAATTTGAAACTTTTGAATTTGGAACTTTTGAATTTGGAAATTTTAAATATGAAAATTTTAAATTTGATGATTTTGATGTTGGGGATTTTCAATTTGAGAATTTCTTTTTTTAAAATTTTGTTTAAGATTTTTAAAACCGGGGATTACAAGCCTAACCCCTAGCCTTTGCATGTAACAAATCCAAAGCCCAATACATTTTGATAGATTTTAGAGATATTTTATTAAAAATAAAATCTTTTGTAGATGTTAACACATTTTACTAGCATATTGAATTGTATAGTTAGTTTAAAATATAAGCTACATTAAAAATAAAATCCCCTAATATCCAATAAACTTCAAAGCAATCCCCAACGCTACCATTCAACGAACTCTGAAAAATAATAATAACCGAAATTGAAATATTCCTTTAAAAATGCAAACACTTTCACTGCGCGCGAGCCATAAACGGGAGCCATGCAAAGTAAAACTTTATTCCACGGCAGCGAATGCAACAAATATCAAGAGAGGCCTGGGCTTCTGMGTAGCGAAGGAGTAGCTCGTTTCACACACATATGCACACTTGCTGAGACAAACTCTCACAAATCCTTTGCACTTCCAGTGACAAGTACCCTCTGAACCGTTTCGCTCGCTCTCACGTTTTCGAACCGGCAATTTATTATTCGAGCTCCGTGCATACGGAGTGCTGGCCATGCGTGTTGACCTGTTGAAGCAACAGGCTGCTTGCTTGCAGCTCAATTTCGTTTTTCGTAACAGTTGCTTTTACCATGCGAAAGGTAAGAATAAAATACATTAAAACTTGCCCACCCACGAGCAACCTCCACAAGCAGCCGCTCGTGGTTTTCCGTTAGTCTTGRTGATTTCTTTAGCTCATTGGCTGCGCGTTAATGCTGCTTTGCTGCCTGCGGTTGTTCGAGAAAATGTAAAAATTCTTATGGCTTCAGCTTGTTTGTTCAGCACACATAAGGCACATTCAAAACAATTTAGCTAAGCTAAATCCGTATTATTAAAGTGGAAGTGATGGAAATTTAATTTGCATATCAACAGCTAATTATAGCACTTTTTACGTGAAAATATTTATTTTGAAAGAATGATATGTATATATATATATTTTTTTTTTTTTTGCATTTATAGCATATCCTTTCGCGTTAAATTATTCAATGTTATAAATAGAAATATTTTAGAAATGATCATAATACTTTTCGTCCATCAAATGTTACATTTTAGAACGACCACAGTCATAGCCTCCCTTAGTGTACAGTTAAAGCGATTTCTATAAAAACTTACTTGAAATATTCTTCTTACTATGATATTCCTTAGCAAGCAATGCTGGAATCCCAACTGTAAATGAGTTCTGTAAAAGCGTAGAATAAAAGGCTACAAATTTTCCTCACACATACTATATAAAATTTGGCTTAAGGCAGTTTCGGAAATCACCAAACACCTCTTTTTTAGTAAAGAGAGAGAAAGAGCATATATTACGTAATAACCACTTTATACAAAGTTTTCGGCTATTTAAAATTATACTTTAAAAGATAAATCACAGGCTCCCTCTACAAGTTTTTACATATTTTATTACCAGACATTAATTGCTAGGTTTCATGCCCACCTCGTCAAAAAGAACCTCAATGAAATGACAAAAACAGATTCGGATCCCTTTTGATGACGACCTCTACAAACGTACWAAGGATGACGATTCAAGAGCAGTCTTTTATTTGGGAAGTTAACGATAGCCAGCTGATTGGTATTCTCGTAAGAGTAAAGTCTGACATCAGAGTCAAATAAAAATTGCGATGGACCGTCAATGG